CTTTAAAAGTTAATTTTTGGTCAAGTATTAATCCAAGATATTTCACTTGGTTTGACCAGGAAATTGGAACTCCGTTCATAGTGACTATGTGACTACTACTAGGTTTCAAAAACGAAGCTCTAGGCTTATGTGGAAATATTATAAGTTGAGTTTTGGAAGCGTTGGGAGAAATCTTCCATTTTTGTAAATAAGAAGAGAAAATATCTAAACTTTTCTGCAGTCTGCTGCAAATAACACGAAGACTTCTTCCTTTAGCGGAAATGCCTGTGTCATCAGCGAACAAAGATTTGTGGCAACCCTGAGGCAAATCAGGGAGGTCCGAGGTGAAAATGTTATACAATATAAGCCCAAGAATGCTACCCTGAGGAACTCCTGCTCTAACAGGTAGTCGATTAGATTTGGAATTTTGATAATTTACCTGCAGAGTTCTGTCAGTTAAATAATTTTGAACTAATTTCATAATATAAAGTGGAAAATTAAACTTTTTCAATTTAGCAATCAAACCTTCATGCCAAACACTATCGAATGCTTTTTCTATGTCTAGAAGAGCAACTCCAGTTGAGTGGCCTTCAGATTTGTTTGTACGAATTAAATTGGTAACTCTTAAGAGTTGATGAGTAGTTGAATGCCCATGGCGAAATCCAAACTGCTCATCTGCAAAAATTGAGTTCGTATTGATGTGAAGCATCATTCTATTCCAAATTATCTTTTCAAAAAGTTTACTTATTGAAGAAAGCAAACGTATTGGACGGTAGCTAGAAGCTTCAGCTGGATTTTTATCCGGCTTCAAAATTGGAACAACTTTTGCATTTTTCCATTTATCAGGAAAGTATGCCAAATGGAAACATCTGTTAAATAATTTTACCAAGAAAGACAAGGTACTCTCTGGGAGTTTTTTGATGAGGATATAGAAAATTCCATCATCACCTGGAGCTTTCATATTTTGAAATTTTTTAGTTATAGACCTTACTTCGTCCAAATCAGTCCCCCAGGAATCATCAAAAATATTTTCCCGAGAGAAAATATTCAGAAAATCCCGAGCAACCTGATTCTCAATAGGACTAGTAAGACCCAAACTGAAATTATGGGAACTCTCGAATTGCTTAGCAAGTTTCTGAGCTTTTTCCAAATTTGTGATCAAAATTTTACCACCTTCTTTGAGCGCTGGAATAGGCTTTTGAGGTTTTTTCAAAATTTTTGTGAGTTTCCAAAAGGGTTTGGAACTCGGGTCTAATTTAGAAACATTATTTTCAAAAGTTTTGTTCCTCAGGGCAGAGAATCGCTTTTTAATTTGTTTTTGCAAATCCCGCCAGATAACTTTCATGGCAGGATCGCGTGTTCTTTGAAATTGTCTCCTACGGACATTTTTAAGACGGATCAAGAGCTGAAGATCATCGTCTATTATAATTGAATCGAATTTAACCTCGCATTTTGGTACTGAGGCAGCTCTTGCTTCAACTATAGAAGTAGTCAGAGATTCAATAGATGCGCCTTTATTACGCCGTTTGCTCTGATATGATTAATATACTTATTAAAATCTATACAAACGATGACTGTCTTCCTGATTCAACACAAGAAGTTTGATCTAATAACATACTGAATAAGTGTAATTTGCACATACATTGACGCTTTAAGCCGACTGTTTCAATTGATTTAATAACATGCTTTATTATACGTCTAATAATTGTTTTCTAGCTCCATTACTAGATTCCATTGCATTGCTTAACAATATTGCTGAATAAAGGTGAATACAGTCAGCATAATAGCTCTTATACCACTATGCGTCCATGTATTAATTGCATGCTTTATAAATGCTTTACAAACGGCGTATTCATTCATTATTCCACAACAGTGCTTCAGGCTAACAACAAAACGAAATTGGTAACATAGTGGTTACCGTTTCCGCTTTCCAAGTAGAAGGTCGCGAGTTCAATCCCAGCCTCAACCCTTTTTTTATTTATGTTCTACTCCTAATTAATTTAAATCGTAATCATACATCGTATCACTCACGACAACCAATTCATAGATCTATCGAAAAGAATAGCATCCTTTCCATTGAATTTAGAGTGATGGAGAGGTAACGTTGGTCTAATGTTAAACAAATACGAATGAATTAATCATTCTCACATCTTCTTGAATTAGCTAGAGTTACGGCTGGAAGCGCTGATAGGTTTTCAGATTCAAGCTTTTATTGCTTATTTAGCTGCTCATATGACGTATCTAGGATAGCTCAGATGGCAAGGCAAGCGGCTGGTGATCGGAAGGTTATGGTTCGAATCCCATATAATGACATGTGTGTGTATGTTTGTCGAATAAAATCTTCTCGACATACCTTATTCAATACCAAATATTTCGATGTTGTGGTTGAATAAATTCTCCAGATTTGTGTGAACAAAGCCTGAACAGAAGTTATTATTAAAAACAGTACAAGTATTATTAAGCATGAAGTGGAATAAAATCGTCAAGAAGTTGTTTCTTCAATAGGCAATTGTTTGTTGGGTTGGTCTTTCTCAAACAATAAAAAAGTTCACATTTTCAATTCACCAATTTTATGGACCAACCTAATTTCACTAACATGAAAAAAATTGGCCAAAAAATATGCAAAAGCTTTTCCCAAGATACCATATGCCTAAAACCAACGGTTTTAGCGCAAACATTTTTGTCTTCCTAAATACGGCTTTGGGACCTTTGTGCCTTGTGTCCCAGTCTTATTATCAAACTGTTTCTGTGATACTTGCCCCTGCCCAGCCAGAATTTGGACAACCTTTCGAGAGTAGTATCTGAAGGAGGCTAAAGAAACCAGTTTCCTACCTAGCTCATTCCAATCGAAATTGTTACCCATTAACCTTGAGCCCGCCAGTAATTGGTAACCAATACTGCTGTTTAAAATGATAATTCAAAAATTACTGATTTTTGGCTCCGCAAAGTGTTACACACGACTGAGCCTAGTAAATGAACGAACTAGTTATAATAATAAAACTGGATACAGTTCAGTAAGGTTTATACAATACTGTTAAAAATAATCGCAGTGATTATTCACTTCCGCTAATAGTTCAACTTACCCAGTGTACCATAATTATAAACTCCACCTGTGGGCCTAATTTCATAACATTCTGAGTCATTTCAGCCCAAACCTGTTCGATAATTTAAAAAAAAAATCCCGAGTGGTGTCATAACAATGGAGTGCATTTTATTAAAAAGGACATTCCACCCAATTGAGATATATTGGTAAGGTGCATCTCACCAATAATTGTGTGGTATGAAAGTGCAGGGGTCTCCCTTAGCTCAGTCGGTAAAGGCGCAGCTACAAAGCAAGACCATGCTGGAGGTGGCTGGGTTCAATTCCTGGTCCGGTCTAGAAATTTTTCGGGTTGGAAAATTTCTCGACTTCCCTGGGCATAAAAGCATGATTGGACTTGCCACACAATTATACCAATGCAAAAATGGTACAGGCGTCGAAAGCTCTCAATTAATAACTGTGGAAGTGCATCTAGAACACTAAGTTGAGAGCACGCAATAAGCTAATATGCGATATGCAATAAGCTTGAAATGCGAAGAAGAAGAAGAAGAAGAAGAAGAAGAAGAAGAAGAAGAAGAAGGTGCAGTGGAAATGCTTAAATATGACTACACTTAACATTTTTCATGCAACAAACCAATACCGAAATAGAACTGATTCCTTGCGTTCAGATTCTAACTGAACCATGCTTTATATATTTATATTCGAAGATGGTGTGCAAAATATCTAACGCTTCTTAAAGCAGCCATTGAAAACGAATACTATCCACTATTTGTCCTTCGTTATCCGGGGTCTTTGGAGACGACCTGTTGCCATTTTAAAACCAATAAGGTCATTGTTGACAGATGAATCCATCTCACAGACTTTTCTTTTGCGCATTGCTCCTAGCATCAATTGTTTGAATCTCCGTTAACCGTGATCATGTGATCTCATGAATGAAATATTCAATATTCCCGACCTATTCTGGCCTCCATCCAGTGTTCGACATCAAGGAATAATTCAAGATCAAGCCGATTTATTTCAGAAGACAACTAGAAAGTGATTTGCAACGGTTGACTAATTGATCGCCCAAGATCATCTCATTTTTCAATCGGTAAATACATACTAGCGTCTCCTAGTGATAGATCTCACGGAAGGCAAAACTTTCTGCCTCGTCCCAAAATATGCCAATATCGATGAGAAGTGGCATTAATTTTTCACTGTTTTCTCCGCTGTCAGCCCTGATCGTGTAATCGTTTTCGATCAATGGAACTTTTATGATGAAATAAAATCCGTTGAAACCGAAGCTGATTGCTTCGCATGACTGTGAAATCCGAAACACAAAAAGTGTGTGTGTGAAAGAGTGTTTGTTTTTCTTAAAGTATAGTTACAAATCAAGAGTGGATTTGAAAAACAAATCAAATTTTGACGCCGATTAGTTCTTTGACAACTAGCACGCATTAACACTTGCTAATGTGTTAAGTTGCAAAATATTTGTCTTTCATCAATGATGTCTATAATTGTATGATTATAAATAGCTTTCCCTTTTCATGAAATAAATCAGTGCAATCATTATAAGGGAATGTAACTGGACGATGTGGAGGTCGCATCGCATCTCGGAATAGTTTCCCTAGAGGAAAGTGCATCCCCCGCGAGTCCTGATAAGTGACAGTATTTGTGCTATATGCACAAATCGAAGGCAAATTGGCTTATCTCCCCATGCCCTTTCGTAATTCTTGACCCTCGATTGTACCGCGCTCCGTAGTTGCAACAAACAACCAGGAGGAAACCTTCTCATCGCGTGAATTAATAAAACCGATGTGCGCGATAATTATACCAATACACATTGATCACTGCGCCATAATTACCACTTTCGCGCACTTTAAGTTTTTCCAAGCTTGCGCATGGCGCGTCCACACTACATCAATACTGTGATCTTGCGAAGATCCTTACCTCGTCGGATGCTGTTAAGCGAATTTCAGCTCAGTTCTCGATTCAGTTGCAGCTCATCGTTCGTGAACATCCAACGGCCTGGACAGGACCAACAGCAGCCCACTTCGAAAGGGAAAAGTCAATCCCAGTATACTGAACAACTCGCCTATAAAGGATTCGCTCCTTCGCCATTCATCAACGGAACTTCAACCAGTTCAGACGTATCTCCATTTTCAACTGTTCGACAATTGTTGAACCCGTTAGTGGAAAGTGTTATCTGTACAAAATCAACCGACGCGAACATGATCGGTACGGCCAAGATTCTCTCGGGCGCGGATGTTTCCAAGTGAGTTACCGAAGGAATAAGTGCACGAACTTGTAGAAAATTGTGCTTTGTAGTGATCATGGAATGGATATTGAAATATGTTGAGTTGATTGTTGAATCTTTTTGTTTATCTTAATCAATCATTTGCAGAGAAATTCGTGACAAATTGAAGAAAGATGTGAGTGAAATTAGGAATAAAATTCCGACCCTTGTGCCGGGATTGGCCATTGTGCAAGTTGGTGATCGCGAAGATTCAAACGTGTACATCCGCATGAAGATTAAGGCTGCCGAAGAGATTGGAATCTACGCGGAGCACATGCAACTTCCCAAGTCAACTACGCAAGATGAACTCCTGGCCGTGGTGAGTAATATAGCCAAACATAATAAATTCGTTTATATACATAAAGTTTTGCGTACTTGGACAACTTCATGTACCAATTATTTCAAGATCAGGAGATGCAGCAAATCATACAAAAACTACTATGGATGCTCCTTAGGCTGTTTCAAAATAGGTCAATCCTGGAATTTTAAACGCTACCCTCTGGAAAGGTAGTTTGGGGGGTCAGAAATACCCTGCCAAAATTTGAAGACATTTGGTTCACGGGAACTCCTCGCTCAAAGGGCTTGAAGTTTGTATGGGGAAAATCTACAAAATGTATAGGAGAACGAGCCACTTTCACATTCGCGGCTCTAGGTGGCACTGTAGTTCGTAGATTTTTTTCGTGGCAAAATGTAGAACCTTTAGAGTCTTGCGAACTTTTTGGCTCAATACTGGATGTGAATCTGAGTTAACCCCGAAAAGCTAGTAGCGGTTCAAATAGATAAGGTACCAGTAATCTAGAACACGGTGATGCTGGAAATCCACAGCAACAGGCATCAATGAGTAGTGCTGATTAATATTTTAATAAAACCAACCCACAACCTGGTTCTAAATACGAAATGTCCACCGGAATGCCATTCGGTGAATCGGATCAACCTTAATATTGATTATTATGATTTTTTGATCAAATTATGTATTGATTATTCTCTGCAACTAGGGGAAATGGATGTAATGTCGGCCTAAATGCCCCTAATTTGGGCCCATACATAAATTCAGCAATCGACTCCATTTTCAATAGTGACCAAAAATATCCATTAGTACCGTCCCAATGACGCGTTCATCTAGATAAAATTGATAAATAGCAGATTTTTAGCGATGGGCCCAATATTAGATCCATAGGCCAACATTAAAGCCATTTCCCCTATGTGAAATGAAGTAAAATTGTGATTTTTGATATATTGGCTGGTCGTTGGCTCCGAGTGGTCATCGGAAAATCTGTAAACTTAATTGCTGTGTAAATTTCATCAAAGCAGGCCTTTATTTGTTCTGATTGTATATGGAATGCACTAAAATGGTGATTTTTCTTTCCTTAATTTAACGTTGGTCTCTGTTCCGCAATCTAGTGCCAATCACCGACGGACATCGATTGCCATCCATTGACGGCAATCGAATGTGCAGGAAGGCAGCTTCCACACCTGCGTAGGATATCGCGACCCCGGCGTAGTGGTTAACATCCTTACCTCTCACGCCAAAGTCACGAGTTCAAATCTCACCCCCGGACAAGTCACGAATGACCCAAGAGTGTTAAAGTAACTATAATAATAAAAAAAAAAAAAATAAAAAAAAAATAAAAAAAATCAACACACATGGGTCGGGACCTCCCTTCGGAAGGAAAATGTGACCAGAGATTTTTATGCCTCAGAAAAATCCCACTGACCTCGGCTGGGATTGAACCCAGACCCATTGGGGTGTTAAAAAGTAGTCACGCTTACCACTACACCACCGGTGCCGGCTAATGGTGAATTTTGATATGTTTTTTTTTGAGTGGCCCACCAGATGGAAGATCTGGATCATCCGTAAAATGTCTGGGACAATCCGTAAATGCGATGTGGGAAAGTATTAGCTGGTTATTAGCTCCAGGTTATCACTAGATGGTCCACCGGAAGATCACAAACATTCTTAAAATTGATTGATGTAAATTTGATCAAAGTATGCCTTGATTTGTGTCTACAACTATATAAAATATAGTTAAATTATGATGTATGATAAATTAGCTGCCCACTGGCTTCAAATGATCACCAGATGGTCCACTGGAAGATCCGGAACATCAGTAAATTTTATTGCTTCGTAAATTTGATCAAAGTAGGCCATGATTTTTATCTGCAACTATATGAAATTGAATCTAGGTGATCATCAAATGACCCGCCGGATGATCTGGAACATCCGTAATATTTATTGCTAAGTAAATTTTATCAAAGTAGGCTTAGATTTGTTCTGATAGGGGAAATGGATGTAATGTCGGCCAAATGCCCATAATATGGGTCCATACATAAATTCAGCAATCGACTAAATTTTCAATAGCAACCAAAAATATACATTAGTACCGTCCAAATGACGCGTTCGTCTAGATACAATTGATAAATAGCAGATTTTTAGCGATGGGTCCAATCTTAAATCCATAGGCCAACATTAGAGCCATTTTTCCTATATGGAATGTATTAAATTGGTGATTTGTTTATATATTAGCTGGTCATTAGCTTCGAATGGTCACTAGATGGCCCGCCAGAAGATCCTGAATATCCATAACATTGATTTCTGCGTAAATTTGATCAAATTAGGCCATGTTTTTTTCTGTAACTGTATCCGAGTGGCTATCGGATGAATCTTAACATCCGTAAACTTGATTATTATATATTTCAATCAAAGCATACCTTTATTTTTCTCTGCAGCTATATGGAATGTAGTAAAAATGAGATATTTGATATATTAGCTGGTCATTGGCTCACCGGAAGTGACAGAACATAAGTAAAATTTATTGCTACTAAAATTTAATCAATGTAGGGAATGACTTTTCTGTGCAACTATATCAGGGCTGCCCAAGTAACCAAAAGTTCTGATAAAAGGCTATTTATGGCTTAAGCACCTTGGTTGAAGGTGGTCTATAGAATTCTAAGCAGCCTCATTTTTAAGTCGTTATAAGAACTTGAAAGTTCCGGTACCATAATTGAAGAGCATTCTAAGCAGCCTCTGGCGGAACTTGAACGGAACTTTTAGAAAATAAATTAAAAAAGGTTTTTTTTTTGTCCTCTACACCAAATTCTATATATTTAGTTCGCACTTTTATGAAAGTTATTTCTAAAGGCAGGTATTAATGTGTATTGATTTATCAGCATTATTATTAGTAATGGAGCTGTTGAAAAATTAAACCCAGTCCTTCTGCGTGAGAGTCTCAGCACGAACCACTGCGTCATCTGAAATATATTAAAGTGAGCTGTTGTCCCGCCTATTGTTGAAGTTCTCTGAGCCTGGTGACTGACTTGAGTACGAAACACAACACCTTGATGAATTTAAATTGCTGTTTGCCCACATGGTATTCCATCACACTTGTGGCGCAGTGGTTAGCAATCGTAGATCACATGCCGAATACACGGGTTCGAATCCAGGAAATTACTTTTTATTTTTTTTATTTTTGGATAGAATGTTGCATAAATATTGGATTTATGATTTATTCGGGCCACTGATTATTTCATATTTACGTACATTAAATTTTGTTACAAAAAAAGATTTGTGCGGATTGCTTCATGTGGCTTGAAAGTTCTGCTGGAACTTTATTTGAACTTTATGGAACTTGAAAGTTCTGTCGGAACTTTATGGAACTTGAAAGTTCTGCCGGAACTTTATTTGAACTTTATGGAACTTGAAAGATCTGTCGGAACTTTATTTGAACTTTATGGAACTTGAAAGTTCTGTCGGAACTTTATTTGAACTTTATGGAACTTGAAAGTTCTGTCGGAACTTTATTTGAACTTTATGGAACTTGAAAGTTCTGTCGGAACTTTATTTGAACTTTATGGAACTTGAAAGTTCTGTCGGAACTTTATTTGAACTTTATGAAATTATAGAATAATCCTATTACCTTAAGCAAATTTGCAGCGACTTACAAAGAGTTCCGTGGAATTATAGGGTATTCCAAGAATTCTATGGTTGATCTTTAAACGTCAGAAGCGTCAGGGAATTATGAATTTATATCAGAAAATTTTCTGGATTATCAAACAAATTAAGAGAACTTCAGGTAAGCATAGATACGTTCAGAGAAAATAAGCGAGTGTTAATAATGGCTATAATGCTTAAGGAACATTCTTGAAACTTCAAGGCAAGTTAATTCACTCCAGTAAAGTTGCGGGTTCTTAAAAAATACTGATAAATTCAGGGCAGTCAAGAGAACTTTAAAGAAATTCAGTAATCGTCTAGGCACCAGAAAAGTCTAGACTATTGAAGAAGTTTTAAATTAGTGTCGATAATTTAAGGGAAGTTTTATGAACTTCAGAAAATCTTGAGAACTCCAGTGAAAATCTTAAAACTATATTAATTATTTCGTTCGAATTCCATGAAAATTACGGGAGCACAAAAGTTCCAAAAATTTAGAAAAACTTCGAAAACTTCACAGAAGGATTAGTTCAGAAATATTAGTTCATAGAAATCGATGGAGCTTAAGATGAGATCCGCGAACTTTAAGGAATTTTATAAACAGTAGCAAAATGCGGAAGCATTTGAAAGAAGTTAGCTCCGAAAATTAGTTTCAGAAAATTAGTGGGGAATTTAAAGCAGTTCCCAGATTTTCAGGTAACTTCAGAGATGTTCAAAAGTTGTTTGAGGTCTTCGCATAAGTTCAGAAGTTCGCTGAAGCTTAAACATTTTTAGGACGATTTAATTAAATTCAGCGCAGTACAACAAGCTTCATGAAAACTGCAAACACTTAGAGAAGTTTTGAGAATTTCAGAAAAGAACAGAGAACCTCAGAACAGTTCCGTCAACATTAGAGAAGTTACATAAATTTTAAAGAAGTTTAGAGAACTTCAGTGAATTGTTGAAATTTTAAAGAAGATGCATGATCGTTAAAAGAAATGAGGAAACTTTAGAAAGTCCTATACAGTTCTGGATTTGAGGTATTGTGAGCATCAGGATAGTTTATCAAACTACACAAGAACTTCAAGGCAGTTTCATTAACTTCAGAAAAAAATGAGAACTTTCAAGTGGTCTGAAGACCTAAACATAGTCCATTTCATATTCAACGGAAATTTCCTCAAAATCTCGATGAAGCTATCGCCAGAATTAAATTTTCTTTCAGTTTTCCTCGGAATTACCTTGAAATTCTCCACAATTAGAAATTGGAAAGATCCTCCGAGTATTTATTGAATTCATTTCAGATTTAATTTTCAATCGCACTCCTTCCCTTGGAATTCTACTCACATTGAAAGTCTCCTAAAAATTCATTGACTTTACTCCTCAGAAATTCCTTAGATTTCTTCTCATAATTTTTT